GAAGATGGCCGCCATCCTGCAGGAGAGAAAGGAGAAGAAGGAGGCCAAGAAGAAGGCCTTGAAGGAGGAGCAGGCGGCCAAATTGAAGAAGATGGAAGAARAGATGRCCAGGGAGAAAGAGAGGTTAAAGAAGGAAGAAGAAGAGAAACTGAAGGCGGTGGATGAAGAAGAGGACGGTCCGCCACTGCAAAGGAGTAGTGGGCAGCCCAATAGTAGTATCGGTGGAGACCTGGAGAAGAGGATATTTGAATGGGTTGCCAACCTGACTGTGGGAGAAGAGGAAGAGGTTAGTATGTATATCCCGCCGGTTCAGCAAGAAGCTATCATGAAGGCTTGGGATGCAGAGAAAGACCCTCTTAAATGTCAAGCGTTGGACGACGAGAATAGGCTGGAATGGAAATTAGCGGTGATGAGGGAGAAGAAGAGGAGAATTGACAAGGCAGCGGAGGCGGCAGAGGCCCTAGAGAAAGTGAAGGAGATAGAGGCGCAATTAGCCGCCCAGCCCGATCTCCCGAGTCAGATGCGAGTCATAGCTCGGAGCGTCGCATGCCTGGCACGGGTTCAGGCAGACCAATATGACTTTAGCAGAAGGCAGGACATAGCTGTGCGCTCGATACAGTTGGGCTTTCGAGACTTTGCTCGTGAGCTGGTAGGCGCCATTGGAGCCAAGGTGGGTCACCGCCTCGACAAGACTGAGCGGTTTTGCGCTGGTGCCATTGAAGGCGTCAAGGCGGCAGCTCCCAAGGAGGAGGAAGCACGTCCTCCTCGCCGGGAGCCTGTCAAAGTCAAGTTCCCCGATTCCTACAGTGGGAAGAGGGAGGAAAACTTTGACAATTGGGAGGCCAACGTTAAGACCTATGTGCACTTGCAACAAGTCTCCCCAGATCAGCAAGTCCTAATTGTTATCCACGCGCTGAGAGATGAGGCCGCCAGTTTTGCAAGGTTCCAAGTTCGCGCCGCCAACTGTAGTGATGATCCCGTTGCGTACTCCTCATTTACGTCCCTCACCGAATTYCTGAAGTTGCTGCGCGAGCGATTTGCAGATGTCGCTCGCAATGTTAAGGCCTCAGATAAGCTCCAAACCATCCATTCTCGTAAATGGAAGAGTGTCAGGGCACTCAAGGGTACAATGGATGAGTTGGTGGCCGTCCCTGACCATGGGGTCACAGAGGGCCAGTTGGTCAACCTCTTTTACCGGGCTATGCCCGAAGCCTTTCGAGGGCAGTTCTTCGCGAAGAGCGAAGACCCTGCCACCACTTACGATTCCCTTAGTCGTCAGGTGGTGGCTTTTGAAGCGAAGTCAGTGTCCCTGTCCACCTTTTGGCATAAGGATTTGGACAAGKGAAAGCAATGGAAAGGCCGCACTATCTCAGGGCAGGTAAAGACCAAGGATAGCCTTGTCCTGACTTTAGATGAGGGTAGTGTGGATGAGATTCCCTACGATCAGATTGAGTGGGGGCTACAGGAGGCGGACAGCGGTGTGGGCCAGGGGAGATCCTACGCTGCTATCGCGGCCGGAGGGAGGCCGCAAGGAGGAAGAGGCCAGGGCCAAGGGGGCCGGGCCTCAGGGAGCCGGTTTCATGGCGATCAGGGGGTTGGCGGCAGAGGAGGAAACCGCCAAGCAGGAGGAAGGGGTCAAGGTCCCCCGCAAAACCGTCCTAGGAACAGGTCTCCCTATAGAGTAGGAGGATGGCACCCAGGGCTACCGCAGGGTAGGCCTTGGGAATCTTTGGGTCTGGACCAGACTTCATGGCAACAACGATTGGACCGGGGCCAGTGCATCTTCTGCGGTGACCCGGGCCATATCATCAAATATTGTCCTAAGTATAGAGAGACCCGAACGGCTGCCCAAGGGCCAAAAGTCAGCCGCCGGTAGGGGTAGCAACTGCCCCTACCATTAGGCCATGTGGGGAACATAGCGCTAGCCGGCAGGAGACTCCCACACCACATGTGCCTACGGCAGAGGTTGCAGGTCGGTGTCTAGACAGCTGTCCCGAAACTGCTTGTGTTAGAGTTTCGCTAGACACCTCCCTCACAGGCGTGGCCGAAGARTTGAAGGAGAGGATGCCCGCTTGGGCCAAGATGAAGAAGGAAAACAAAGGGCGGCTTATATTACTAGATACAGAGATTTTTAGAAGTAGAGTAGGGGCCCTAGTAGACTCAGGGGCCACTCGCAGCTATATTAGTAGGAAAGCGTTGCAGAAGTTGAGGTTGGGACTTAAAGTCCAGAAACTGACAGACCCCATAGTATCCTCGCGGACAATCGTACTATGATTGTAGAGGATTACGTAGAGGGAGTCCAGGCGTATTTCCGCCTGGAGAAAGATGGGAAAGTGGAAAAGGTCCTCCACTCCCTGACTCTCCTCGTAGAGGACAGCCTCCCATTTGACATTGTCCTGGGAATGGATTGGGGAGAGGCAGCCGGGGCCACGCTCCATTTGAAGGAGCACGAGTGTAGGCTCCCTAGTTCGTCAGGCGAGGCCAAGACTGCCCGCCTGTTCCATGTGTCAGGGGTAGAGAATTCCTTGGCGCACTGCTGCCTTAGTGCCCCCGAGTTCGCCAGACTGGTGAAGAAGGAGGGATTGGAGGAACAGGTCTTTGTTGCCTATGTTAGCACGGTGCCGCGGCCCATCCAACACCATATTGAGATAGAGCCTGGCGGTAGAACTCCTAAGGGTGCGGTGTATAGGATGTCCCCGCGGGAGTTAGAGGAGCTGCGGAAACAGTTGGACGAGCTCCTTGAAAAGGGTTGGATTAGGCCCAGTTCGTCTCCTTTTGGAGCCCCTGTTCTCTTTGTACCTAAGAAAGAGGGAGAGCTAGGGATGTGTATAGACTATAGGGGTCTGAATGCCATTACAGTGAAGAATGCTGAGCCACTGCCTAGGATAGACGATCTCTTAGATCGAGTGCAGGGGGCGAAGTATTTCTCCAAGATAAATTTGAAGTCCGGATATCATCAGATAGAGGTACATCCTGATGATCAGTACAAGACTGCCCTCCGGACTAGATATGGGCACTACGAGTTCATAGTGATGCCCTTTGGACTAACCAATGCGCCAGCTACGTTCCAGCGTTGTATGAACGATTTCTTTAGGCCGTGGTTAGACAGGTTTGTTGTAGTTTATCTAGATGACATTCTAGTGTTTAGCAGGACCCTCGAAGAGCATCACGGTCATCTCAAGTAGGTCTTGGAGAAGTTGAGGGAAGCTAACTTCAAGATCAATGCAAAGAAGTGCGATTGGGCAAAGACCCAAGTTTTGTACCTAGGCCACGTCTTAGACGGAGACGGCGTTAAGCCAGAAGATAGCGAGATCGCAGCGATTAGAGATTGGCCCAYGCCACGTACGCTGACAGAGTTGCGCTCGTTCCTGGGCCTAGCTAACTACTATAGGAAGTTCATGAGGAACTTGTCCACCATCGCTGCGCCCCTTCGCAGATTGCTGAGAAAAGAGACAATCTGGAAGTGGGACAAGGACTGCACGTCTTCCATGAAGAAGCTAAAGCAGGCATTGATAGAGTATCCGGTCCTTAAGGTCGCCGATCCGTCCTTGCCTTTTGTCGTTACTACGGATGCTAGCCAGTACGACATAGGCGCAGTGTTACAGCAAGACGATGGCAATGGCTATAGACCCGTAGAGTTCATGTCCGCCAGGATGCCTTCAGAGAAGGTCGCGACATCTACCTATGAAAGGGAACTCTACGCTCTCAGGCAAAGCCTTAAACCACCGGAAGCACTACTTGCTTGGGAGGCACTTCAAAGTGTATTCTGACCATGAGACATTACGATGGTTAGAGACGCAGGCCAAGATGACACCTAAGCTTACTAGGTGGGCCGCAGAGATCGATCAGTATGACTTTGAGCTCAGAGATCAGTATGACTTTGAGCTCAAGCCTGTCAAAGGGAAGTACAACGTAGTCGCGGATGCTCTGAGTAGGAGAGCGGATTACTTTGGGGCAATAGTACATTACCTCGATATAGGGAAGGACCTGCAGCAGAGGGTTAGAGAAGCTTACGCGCAGGACCCTATCTATAGTGAGCTCCTTAAGAAAGTCAAGGAGGCTCCAGTGACTGAACCGAATTACCGCACTACCGAAGGGTTGCTTTTTAAGAAGACTAATGTGTCTGACCGCCTGTGCATCCCCAATAGCGAAGAGATTCGTAGTCTGATTCTGGGCGAATGCCATGACACAGAGGGTCACTTTGGTTGGCAAAAGACTTTAGCCAATCTTATGCGTGCGTATACCTGGCCAGGGATGAAGAATGACTGCGTAGAGTATGTTCACAGTTGCAAAGTCTGCCAGCGTAATAAGAGTTTTACGCACGCCCCGGTAGGTCTTCTCAGACCCTTGCCCATTCCGGATCAGCCGGGAGACTCAGTGTCAATAGATTTCATGGACACTCAAGTCAAGAGCAGGCATGGCAAGAGCCAAGTCATGGTCATAGTTGACCGCTTTAGCAAGTACGCAGTTTTTGTTCCTTCGCCTTTAGAGGCGCGTACTGATTTAGTCATACAGAGGTTCTTTGACTGTTGGGTTAGTGAGAACGGAGTCCCGCTGTCAATAGTTAGTGATAGAGATAGTCGTTTCACCAGCCAGAACTGGCAAGAACTCATGGGAGTGTATGGATCCAAGTTGTTGATGTCGTCCGGCCGTCATCCAGAGACTAACGGTCAGACGGAGCAAATGAACAAGATCCTACAGCAAGTTCTACGCATGTATATTAGGCCGGATCAGATTAACTGGGATGAGATGTTGCCCAAAGTAGCTAGTGCGTACAATAATAGCGTGCATCTGTCTACATGTCACACTCCCAACGAACTGCACAAGTCCTTTAGACCGCGCAGACCGTTTGAGGGACTCAACCGGGATCAGATTCACAGATTGTCGCCCGGGACCCGGGAGTTTGCTGTGCAGCACGGGAGAGGACTAGCTACCGTTGTAGAAAACCTCAGGAAATCCCAGCATAAGATGATAGAGCAAGCGAACAAACATCGTCGCCCTTCATAGTTCCAAGTAGGCGACTTAGTCTGGGTTAGTTCCAAAGAGTTTGCGCCTGAGGAGAACATCTCGCAGAAGTTACTGCCCACATATAGAGGACCGTGGCCTGTTCTAGAGGTCATGGGCGGCGAAGATGGACCGTCCTATACCATAGAGCTACCAGCACACCTCCACACTTACCCAGTTTTCCATGCGTCAAAGTTGTTACCTTGTCCAACAAGTGATCACTTTCCATCCCGTAGATCGATGATCCCACCTGATATGGATGGAAGATATGACCTAGATGGTATAGTGGCTGAGGATGTCTTCAGAACTGGAGGTAGAGGTCGTCCGCAGAAAAAATACAAGGTTCATTTTAGCTATCAGGAACCGGAAGACAACTGCTGGTTTACAAGATCTGAACTCCTAGAGACAGCTCCCGATATAGTCCGGGCCTATGAGAGACAACAGATGGGTAAAGGTCCTGCCTTGGACTGAATTTTTCTCGGAGGACCTCGAATTTAGGCCGGCGGGAGTGAAATGGTAATCACCAGTTCGCAGTAGCGAATGCAGATCCCAGGGCTCGATCCCTAGTTCCCTATCTTACCTGTGTACAGTATTGATGTCAACCCGTAGACTTGAACCCGCGAMCTGTAGGATCGCCAGTGGTAGGCAGGGTTTYGTAGGTCACAGCTTAGAAGGGAATCGAACTGTAGACCTGTAGGGTAGGAGTCTAGACAGTTCCAAAGTCGTAGCTGTAGGATGCCTGAAGAGTCAAGGTSGTAGCTGCTACTTMCCTGAAAGGGCAAAGTCGTAGCTGCTACAGTACCGAAAGGCCAAGTTCGAGACTTCTAGAAGTGGCCTTTCGGAGTTGGCCTGTGTTCAGCAGAGCAAGTGGTCAAGTGGTGGTAGTCCACCTAGCCCAGGCAGCAGTCCCAGTTAGTCAGTCCGGTCCTGTTCAGCAAGTACCGTCTGGGACTGTGTGCACATCGTGGGCCAAGGGATACAGGGCAGACCAACGCAGCGCAGAAGTATAAATCAAGAGGCTGCGTCCAGCCATTCATTCATTCCTGCAGATGCCATGCGGAAGCGCTGCCCCAGCAGCTTGTGCGAGGAGGTCTGCAGTGCGCCCGAAGACGAAGAGGGCAGTGAAGTGTAGTGTAGCGATAGGAGAGTGGCAGCCATAGCTGCCATAGCTCTAGTAGCGTGTGTGTGTGTGTGTGTGTTGTGTGTAGAGTGTTGCGTGTGGGACATCCAGGGTGATCCAGAGTGCGAACAGTGAGTTGTGTGGGCGCTCAGTCGCCATAGCCAGTTGAAGAGAACTCCTACCTGGTTACGATATCTTGAGTACTGTGTGGGCGCATGTCGCCAGTTTGCTGTTTCGCTGTTTGCATGCATGACAAGTGTGAAGAAGTCGAGTCTGATTGCACCACCAGGATTTGAACTCGTAATCTGTTTACATGTGGTACCATTCAGCCACATCGCCCGGGTGACGGCTGAGATTTCACATTACGATTGGTTGTTCTGTGTAACGATCTGTGGTATGATCGATCAGTGGCGCAACGTGAGAGATCTCGCCAGAGTTGCCAGCCAATCTGGAGATGATTGAAGCTGGCAGTAAGAGGATCTCTGGCACAGAGAGGGGTTGGAGTAGGGATATGCAGAGCAAAAAATAGTTACGACTTCCATTTCCCAGCCAAGAAGATGTGAAAATGGAGAAAGTATTGAAGCTGGCAGTAAGAGGATCTCTGGCAGAGAGAGGGGGTGGAGTAGGGATATGCAGAGCAAAAAGTAGTTACGACTTCCATTTCCAAGCCAAGAAGATGTGAAAATGGAGAAAGTATCCGCGCCTGCTAATTTAAATACACACCTTTTTCTGCTGAGCTACATAGTATTCTTGTCGCATAATCTTCAGGTCGTAATCACCTGCACAGATGGGGCAGGGACAACTTCAAACAGAGTTCAACAAACCATGAAAGAAGCAGCAATGTCAAATTTATAACCAGTCGAATCTGTCAGAATTCATGAATACAATTTTGGGAACAGCCAAATCTTTTTTACATGTTACAATCCTGGCCAATTTCGAAGTACAAATTCATGAGAAAGCACAATGCCGTCTAATTGCAAAAAGAAATGGATGAACTTGAGAGGAGAGAGGGGGAAAGAAGAAGAAGAAGAAGAAAGAAAGAAGAAGAAGATGATGATGTACACCAGCAAAGACCAATGATGATTCCCGTTCTCTGCCAACCAATCTCCTCCTCCTTTTCTCCTCCCCTTTTTATTCAAACAAAAAATAATAATAATAATAACGATGAATGGCCGAACCAGAATCAATGTCCAAATCCCTCTCCTACTCCAGGCAAAACATGAGGTCCACCATAGCCATGGCTGCCCGTCTCCTTCCTCTTCATGAAGGCCGAGGCTATGGCGGACTACAAGGGCCTTGCCCTGACGTGCAAAAGACAATGCAAAGCACCTATGGCTGCTCCTGCTCAGGCTGCTATGCCTGACTCTGCCTCGAAGCTTCTTGACGCCGCTCTACCCCAACGGGGGTCTCCTAGATGCAGCGCCCACCAAGATGATGAAGATGGCATCCACCATAGCCAGGAAAGTACCCCTGGCGCTCCTCTCCCCTAACCCCCTTCTTCCACCTCCTCCAGCCCGGGCTCCTCCACCATAGCCAAGGCAGAGAGCTGTGCGCTCCTTCCCCAGCTGCGCTGCATCACCACGCGCTCCAGAAGCGTGTCGTCCAAACTTGCACACAGCGAACTATGAGCACTTCACTCCTCCTGGAGATATAGCGGCCAACTCGCCTCTTGGGCGGTGACTTCCAGGCCGTGCGGCCTCCAAGCAACCGGTACCTCCTCCCTTTTGGAGGGAGCATCATTGCAGACTTGGATATCACCTGTACAGGCCCTAGACTCAGACTACTTGGACTGGTACCCGCCTAGACCTAGCCTACAACTACTGGGCCTCTAAAAAAGCCATTTTTTTGTCTTCTTCTGCTCGGCCACCAGTCCCGACACATCTACCGCTACTGAAGTGGTACCGACCTACCTGTTACTTGAGTGTTTTTCCCCGCTGCTCTGAGTGTCACAGGCCTTCTCCTGCTACTTGATTGTTTTCCCCGCTGCAACCTTACAGTGTCACGGCCACAGGGAAGTACCGGCCCTTCGGGACCTCCCAAGCAAGCAAGTACCCTTGCGGGTCACACACACACTCAAGCCGTCAAGCACTCAGACAGGCACGCAGACCAGCACGCATGCACACACACAGGCATAGAAAACTCAGCAGAAAGCGGGAATCTCAGCAAGGCATTCATTCCAGCAGCAAAACCCAGAAATCAGCTGTGTTCTCAGCCTGTGTTTGGGCAGGTCCTTACATACAGATGCTCCTAAAATGGTATGATGTACACACTACGTACCATATAAAGATCTCGTCCAAGGTAATGTTAATTTGCAAAGCGTCAAAGACAGTTCAAAGCGACGACAAGAATGTGCCATACAATTGGGTGGCAGATGATCCCTGCACATCCCACAAAAAGAACACAAGGTGCCCAGACAATAACAAGCAACTAGCAAACAAGTGCCTTCCAACGAGTTACGGTGGGTGTTACGGACTCCGCCAGGGTTCGATCCCTGGTCTGCAGGTTACCACCCACCAGCTTGTTGTATTTGTTTTTCTTTTTTTCTGTTTTGCAATTCCTTTTGTTTTTTATTCTTGCTTTTCTGATTTCGGACAGTTGGCACCCGTTTTCAAATTCCTTCTTTTGGGACTTTCGGATTTCGGACACTGGGCGCCATCCGACATTCTGGTGCCCACTCTCAGACTTTCGATTTTCTGTTCTGGCCCTGAGGCATTTTCACTTTTGCCCTCGGGACTGCACTCGAGTCCGGTGAGAACGGACTCAAGCCCAGTACGGACACCAAGTTTTCAGCCTCAGTGCTTGTGTTCAGTGCGACTTTGCTTCGACATTGTGTTCGGGAATTCAAGACTGCGGCACCCACTCTCAGACTTTGGATCTTCTGTTCTGGCCCTGAGGCATTTTCACTTTCGCCCTCAGGACCGTACTTGAGTCCGATACTTGTGTATGGACTCAAGCCCAGTATGGACACCAATTTTTCAGCCTCCGTGCTTGTGTTCAGTGCGACTTCGGGAATTCAAGACTGCGACTTTGCAACTTTTGCCACTTTGTGTCTGCGTCCGTCGAGTCGTGTTCAAGTCTGCGTTGAGTTGAGTGAGCGTGTGTGTCTGGTCTCACTCTCCCTCTCTCCCAGCCTCACTGCTCTGCCTCTGCCTTGTCACACTGGTATCGGAGCGGCGTCGATCGCCCTCCCGCCCACCCTGCTCAACGCGGAGCAGCTTCAACGACGTCACGCCGTCACCGTCATCATCGTCTTCGTCATTGACATTGCCACGTCATTCCCGTCGCCACCATCTTCAACATCGACATTGCCACGTCAAAGTCATCGTTGCCACATCATCATCGTCACTGCCACATCATCAACGATCCATGTAACGTGCAGACCAGAACAAGAACCGACCTCTCCATACAAAGTACAAGATAACACAGCGGAAGTCTTAGATACGAATGATCCGAACAATCAATATTGCAATGCAGCCCTGAACACACATCATCATCATCGTTATCTGGTGTGAAGGGGGTCTGGCGCTTCACACAAGAAGACTGCGCCAGCCCCAACCATACACAGACGAAGAAGGAGGGGTTAGACGAAAGAGGATGGGAAGATGGGAATGCCGTCAACACCAAGTCTCGGTACAGGCCCAAATAGTCCCTCGTCGAAATGTCTGAATCCCAATGTCCAGTCTGGATCCAAT